TCTCTGTGTCGAGGGTCGGCTGCGCGCCACCCTTCACTCCTCCTCCCTTCGTCCGGCCACCGAGCCTTTTGAGACGCTCCACTTGGACGTCTGGGGCCCCGCCCCTCGCCTTGGCCCTGAGCACGAGCGTTTCTTTTTGGTGGTCGTTGATGACTACTCCCGCTACACCACAGTGTTCCCCCTGGCGAAGAAGTCTGAGGTGACTTTTACGCTGATCAGGTGGTTGCTTACCACTGAGGGCACTCGTGGTCGTCGTGTCAGCTGTCTTCACTCTGACTATGGGGGTAAGTTTCGCTCCGGCATTCTCGCTGGATTCTGTCGCGAGCAGGGCATTCGTCAGTCCTGGACGCTTCCAGAGTCCCCACAGCAGAATGGGGTTGCTGAGCACCGCATAGGCTTGGTCATGGAGATCGCCCGCACCTCCTTGACTCACGCCCGTGCCCCCCATTTTCTGTGGCCCTACGCGGTTCGGTACGGCGCTCACCAGCTGAACCACGCGTCTCTCGGCCAGAGGCTTCACCGACCAGTCTTTGGACCGGGTCCCCTGGTGTTGCGTCGAGGTTTCGTGTCTGGGGTTGCTTGGCTCTTGTCCGCGACACTTTCACGGACAAGCTCTCGCCTCGCGCCGTTCCTTGTGTCTTCCTTGATTTCCCTGAGGACTCCTCTGACTTCACCTTTTACCACCCTCCCTCTCACCGGTTCTTTGACTCCCGTGACGTCCGTTTCGAGGAGTCCACCCCCTACTACGTCAGGTACCCAAGTCGATGTCTCCCGGTTCCTCCTCCCCCTCTCTTCCTGACTTCCGCTCCCCCTCCTGCTCCCCCGGTACAGCCTCCCCCCCTGGACCCGCCCCGTCAGGTGTGTCCCAGGCTACCCCTCCCCCCTCGGTAGCCCCTCAGGTGCAGCCTCCTTCCCCGCAGTCCTCCTCGCAGCCCGCGGCAGACCCTGCGGGAGCCGGTGCTCGTGGAGAGGGCCCTACAGGTGCTAGCTCTGGGGGTGCTGGAGTTGGAGCTGAGCCCGTGGTTGCAGGAGACTCTTGTCTTCCGGGAGCTGGTGTTGGTCCTGCTGACTTTGGGGGTGCTACGTCTGGGGGTGCGGGTGCACCCTCTTCGGGTCTTGGTGAGCCTGGTCGTGTTGCTATTGGTGGTGCTGACTCTGGGGGTGGTGCGCCAGGTGCTTTGGAGGGCGGTCCCGGGGCTGCCGCAGCCCCCGACACTACTCCTCCCCCCCACCCCTACCCGACCCGGCACCAGGCTTGTGTTTGCCGTGCCCATAAGGAGCAGCTGGAGTTGGAGAGAGATGAGAGGGAGTTGCAGCGGCTTGAGGAGCAGCAGCAGCAGCAGCAGGAGCAGCTGCAGCAGCCGCAGCTGGAGCCGCCGCAACAGCAGGAGGCGCAGCCGCTGGAGCCGCTGCAGCAGCAGGAGGAGCAGCAGCCACCGCAGCAGCAGCAGCAGCAGCCGCCGCCTCCTCCTCCTGTCTCTGGTCTTCGGGCCCTCGGTCTCCCCTCTTGCTCTCCTTCCTCCTCCCCCTCTCCTCCCGTCTCGGGCCGCTTCCTCCTCCTGACCCCTCCTCGGCTGTTTTCCCTTGTTCTCAGCCTCCGTTGTCCCCTCCTCCTTCTCAGACTTGGGCCTCTTGTCGCCCCCCTCGTGCTCGTCCCTCGTCTCCTGTTCTCGTTACTGACCTTCGTACTGCCCTCTTTCGTTCTAGTCCGTCTCGTTCGTCTCCGTCTCTCCTTCCGTCTCCTCCTGAGTCGGCCTTCACTGCTTCTCTCTCTACTCCTGTCACTGACTACTATCGCACGTACCGTCCTGTTCTCTCTCGTGTTCTCGCTCTCTTGTTACCAACCCTCGTGCCTCTGTCTCCTCTGTCTCCGCCCTTACTGCCGCAGTCACTGAGTTTGCCTCCACTCACTGCCTTGACTACGCCACTGGTCTTGTGGCTACTCCTCCTACCAGTCCTCTGGCCGTCGTGGGTGAGTCTGCCCTTGGCTATGACGTCCTAGAGGACAGGCAGTTTGAGCTAGAGTTCCTGGCAGCCGCTTCCCCACATCTCTGTGCCATGCTGCTCGCCCCTGAGGGAGACCCCGACGCCCTTGACATACCGACTCCTCGCACTTACGCTGAGGCACTGTCAGGGCCTTGGGCCTCTCAGTGGAGAGCTGCCATGGACGCAGAGATGGCCTCCTACAGATCCACAGGCACCTACGCCGACGAGGTTCCCCCCCCCTGGGGCGAACGTAGTCGATGGCATGTGGATCTACAGGGTGAAGCGGCCACCGGGATCTCCTCCGGTCTTCAAGGCGCGCTACGTGGCTAGAGGTTTCAGTCAGCGCGAGGGAGTTGACTTCTTTCAGACCTTCGCGCCTACCCCGAAGATGACCACTCTTCGGGTGTTACTACACGTAGCAGCACAGAGAGACTACGAGTTACACTCTCTCGAATTCTCCACTGCTTTCCTTCAGGGTAGCTTACACGAGGAGGTCTGGCTGCGTCGTCCCTCTGCCTTCACTGGCACTTTCCCTCCTGGGACCCAGTGGAGGCTGAGGCGACCTGTCTACGGTCTTCGTCAGGCTCCTTGTGAGTGGCACAACACTCTTCGTTCCACCCTCTCTGACCTTGGGTTCCAGCAGTCTTCTGCCGACCCGTCGCTGTTCGTTCGTCGTGGCTCCACACCGTTCTTTGTTCTGGTCTACGTCGACGACCTGGTTTTCGCCACTACTGACAGGGTTGCCTTGGCAGACGTGAAGTCCGAACTGCAGAAGAGACACACGTGCACTGACCTTGGTGAGCTGTGCCACTACCTTGGTCTGCAGATTACCAGGGACAGAGCTGCTCGCACCATTACACTCTCACAGTCACACATGGTGCAGCAGGTCCTTCAGCGGTTCGAGCTTCAGCACTCCACAGTACAGCGCACACCTCTTGCTGTTGACCACAGACTTACTGGACCCTTTCCTGACGAGCCGTTTGAGTCTAGTGGTCCCTACGCAGAGCTGGTGGGCTGTCTCATGTACCTGATGACTTGCACTCGCCCGGACCTCGCCTTCCCTCTCAGCATCCTTGCTCGCTTTGTTGCGCCAGGGACACCGTCCTGTTCACTGGACGGCAGCTGTGAGGGTGGCGAAGTACCTAGCGACGACATCGGGAGTGGGGCTAGTTCTTGGAGGGCAACAGCCTGGCGTACTTACTGGTCACTGTGACTCTTCTTACGCTGACGACGCTGAGACTCATAGGTCTACTCAGGGGTGCTTTTTCAGTTTGGGTTCTGGAGCTGTTTCGTGGCGGTCCACGCGCTCCTCTTCGGTCTCGACCTCTACAGCTGAGGCTGAGATCTATGCTGGTGCCATGGCGGCACAGGAGCTGCGTTGGTTGACCTTCTTGCTCGCCGACCTTGGTGAGCGGCCGAGCTCTGCACCGACCTTGTTCACTGACAACAAGGCGTCGATTCTCCTTTGTCGAGAGCCGCGACTGGAGAGCAGAGTGAAGCACATTAACGTCAGGTACTTTCTTCTGCGAGAGTTGCAAAGACGTGGACAGGCTCGCTTCGAGTTTGTGGAGTCCGAGGCCAACACTGCAGACATCTTCACCAAGGCGCTTCCGCCTTGTGACCACCAGAGGTGTTGTGTGCAGTTAGGCCTTGTTGACACCGTTTCTAGTCGTGTATAGGCTTGAGTCTACTGTTTGCTTTGCTTGTACTCTTACTATACATACTTGTGAACTCTCGAACTGGCCTTGTGGCCCCTGTTGCTTGTGCTCAGAGTGTGTGGTGACGTTGTGACCCACCCTGAGCTTTGTTTCTTTGTGACTGGTCTTGTGACCATACACTTTTGGTTTTGCTTGACACCCCTCACTTAGGCTATGGGGGTGTGTCAAATGTTGTAGCCTGTAGTGAGGTTTGTCTTAGGGGGTACAGATGTTAGGGTCTGTGATATGTACCCCAACCCACATCAATGAACCAACACTTTCGTTCTTGACATCATCGTGCGATGATGAAGTCTAGGCAGAAAAATGCTGTGATGAAAGCCAAGACTGGGAGTAATGAAGTGATTTGCCATGAAGTTGAGCACGAATAGGTTAAATATTGTTGAGCTTCTTTCTGGGTCCAGTCGTTCTTGGAGTTGGTGATGTGAAACCGATGTAGAAGCCTCAGGATCATAGCTTGTAATAGACTTGATAATAATAAAACTGCAGATGTCAGTTTCCAGCCTGGATGATAGACCGAGCCATGGCGATCCCGAGGGTGCCTGATCAACTCCATGAAAGGTTGCCTTGTAACACGGCGAGCCAATGTCAGCATAAATGACAGGTCTCCCGACAGCTGAGTTACTGACGAACCTAATGGTGTAGAAAGAAAGTGGATTGAGGCCCTCTAGCGAGGACATTGCGCGGTTCGGATCTGGCAGAATCCATGGCGGATGTAAGGCGCGGAGCATCTTTGCGGAGGAGACGATGCAGTATACATGATTAAGCTTTGCTTTTACACATGAAAACATGTGTAGACGATCAAGACTCAATGCAGAAACGCAGAAAAAGAAATCTACAGTAGCACACAAAATACTAGGTCAGGTGCAGCCCAGTATCCTTCTAGAGTTATTAGAGTCAGACTATTTGGTACAACAAGCCAACCAAACATGTAGTATCAACCCAAATGCATACACTGAAATTATTCAGCCACTGTGAGCGAAATTGGTACTGGTCTTCAAACAACCATGTGCAGTTGCACACCTCTGCAACCAGCCCTGTCCGATCTCATGCCTTCTTCCCTTGTCCTCCAACTTCTTTGTGGTGAACATGATTAGCTCTCTGAGGTGCACCGAGAGGGCGAACGGAAGGGCAAGCCACAACGTAGGACATGAGCCAATGCGAGGGAAGTGACATGAGATGGAAGATGATAAAAGCAAATGATAAAGCAACAGGGAAGGCAAAATACCCTCTACCTCTCCCTCTGTCTCTCCCTCTCCCTCTGCCTTTCCCTCTCCCTCTCCCCTTTCTGTCCCTTACAAGTGCACTTGTTATAATCCCTTTGAAATCCCGCCTTGCACTGACATGCCGCCTTTCCTCCCACCACCTTGCACTGCGCATTGGCAGGGTAGCCACCCTTGCATATGGCTGCCACATATGAGCGTATGCAGCAATTTTAGATGGCGTAAATGCAACAGCCATGTAGCTCATGGGTGTACTAGCTTAGAAGCAGGGGTTGTGGTGGTGGAGGTGACTGTCCCTTACGCGTGCACTTGTTGTTATTTGCCATCCGGAACCCCGCCTTGCACTGACATGCCGGATTCCCTTTCACCACCTTGCACTCCGCATTAGCAGGACAGGCGGGATAGCATACGGCTGCCACAGGAGGTGGGCGGGGGTGGGGCGGGGGGGGGGAGGGGGGGGGAGGGTTGCACAGGGCAGGCATTGTTGCATATGGCTGCCACATGAGGTGGGTGGATGGGAGGGGAGTGCACCGTGCAGGTGAATGAAGAACAGTTTAATTTTGAGGCGCCTCAAAACTAGATTAGCAGGGCAGGCAGTGTTGCACACGGCTGCCACAGGAGGTGCGTGGAGGGGTGCAAGTGAAGGGAGAGCTTGAAGAATTGAGTTAGAGGCAGTTGAGGGGCAAATAGTGAGAGTAGATGGCACGGATGTCATGCGGATGCTCATGGGTGCATGTGGGAGGTGGAGATGGGTGCATGTGGGAGGTGGAGATGGGTGCGTGTGGGAGGTGGAGATGGGTGCATGTGAGAGGTGGAGATGGGTGCATGTGGGAGGTGGAGATGGATGCATGTGAGAGGTGGAGATGGGTGCATGTGGGAGGTGGAGATGGGTGCGTGTGGGAGGTGGAGATGGGTGCATGTTAGAGGTGGAGATGGGTGCGTGTGGGAGGTGGATATGGGTGCATGTGGGAGGTGGAGATGGGTGCGTGTGGGAGGTGGAGATGGGTGCGTGTGGGAGGTGGAGATGGGTGCGTGTGGGAGGTGGAGATGGGTGCGTGTGGGAGGTGGAGATGGGTGGATGTGGGAGGTGGAGATGGATGCATGTGGGAGGTGGAGATGGGTGCATGTGGGAGGTGGAGATGGGTGCATGTGAGAGGTGGAGATGGGTGCGTGTGGGAGGTGGAGATGGGTGCATGTGAGAGGTGGAGATGGGTGCGTGTGGGAGGTGGAGATGGGTGCGTGTGGGAGGTGGAGATGGGTGCATGTGGGAGGTGGAGATGGGTGCGTGTGGGAGGTGGAGATGGGTGCGTGTGGGAGGAGGAGATGGGTGCGTGTGGGAGGTGGAGATGGGTGCATGTGGGAGGTGGAGATGGGTGCATGTGGGAGGTGGAGATGGGTGCATGTGGGAGGTGGAGATGGGTGCATGTGGGAGGTGGAGATGGGTGCATGTGGGAGGTGGAGATGGGTGCATGTGGGAGGTGGAGATGGGTGCATGTGGGAGGTGGAGATGGGTGCATGTGGGAGGTGGAGATAGGTGCATGTGGGAGGTGGAGTTGGGTGCATGTGGGAGGTGGAGATGGGTGCATGTGGGAGGTGGAGATGGGTGCATGTGGGAGGTGGAGATGGGTGCATGTGGGAGGTGGAGATGGGTGCATGTGGGAGGTGGAGATGGGTGCATGTGGGAGGTGGAGATGGGTGCATGTGGGAGGTGGAGATGGGTGCTTGTGGGAGGTGGAGGTGGTGGGATACGTCAAACTGGTGTGCACGGAAAGAAACCCCTCCCCTCTCACATACGTGTGCACTCGTTCTTCTCCATTTTGAAGCCTTTTTTGCACCGACACACCGGCTTTCCTCCCTTCACTATGCACTGGGCATTCACACAGCAAGCAGGCTTGCACATGGCTGGCGTGGGTGGGAGATGGGAGATGAGGTAAGGGGGAAAGAGCATGAGGCTGGGTGAGACAGGACAGCAGTGGAGAAATACGAGGCGAGTGGAGAGGATGGAAGGAGGAGTGGCATGAGAATGACTTTTGAGGCGCCTCAAAAGAGTGGCATGAGAATGACTTTTGAGGCGCCTCAAAAGAGTGGCATGAGAATGACTTTTGAGGCGCCTCAAAAGAGTGGCATGAGAATGCCACCGAACCCCCACAGGAAGTCAAGATCGACTCGCATGAAGCACTGTGATCTCCTTTACGGTATTTTTGAGAACTCTCAGAAGCACTGTGATCCCGTGCACTGTCGCTAAAGGCTGTATTGCCTCTTAACCTCTTGGTCACCTGCACATGTGGAGCTCACCAGTGCAGAGGCCACTTGTCTTGGTGTAGCCGGCATTACAGGCGCAACTCCCCCGCCCATTCTTCACAACGCACTTTGAGTTCTTGCCACACTTGAGTGTGCCCGTCTTACACGGGTCTGCCGCTGCTATTGGTGGAGAAGGGAGGGATTCAGCGTTAGCTTGACTGAACGTCTAAGGGCAGTTCACTTTCAGGCTGCATTTCTCAGAGTCACTTGCACAGCACAGATGTAACTCTGTGTTTGTTGGCAATCATGCAACAAGAGACAAGGACACCTACCGGCAGTAAGAGACAAGGACACCCACTAGCAGTATAAAACGCAGTGCTGCAGAAATATCTGTTTCTTTGAACACGAGGCCCAAGGGGCGCTTGCACTGGGCCTTGCCCTCCTTCACAATGCACTCCGAGGTTCCACAGTTCTATTTTTGAGACGTCTCAAAACTAGACCTACCAGGGTTGATAGTCTTATTGCCGCAGATCTTCTGAGCCTCATTGAACTCGAGGCCCCAGGGGCACTTGCACTGGGCCTTCCCCTCCTCCACAACGCACTTGGCAGTTCCACAATCTTTGGGACACGGGGCTGTTGTGGGCACCACAGACAGGGCTGTTGTGGGCACCACAGAGGAACAAACACCCCCGGCAAAAGAAGGAAACGGGTAAGGGAGGGGACCATAAGGGGGGCATAGGGAGACAAAGAAGAGGCTTGCTTCTCACCTTTTTTTACCTAGTATCTCCCATACTGGTGACTTAGTCAGAATGAGCAAACAGGGGGTAATGATGAAGAACAGCACTCCATCAACAAGGGAAGAAAAAGGTTTCTTCTCAGCACCTATTGATACTTCACCAACAAAAACCCCAGCACCCACACACACTCCACCACTCACCATCGCATGCCTTGTTTGCTACATTGTAGATATAACCTTCAACATTGCATGAGCACGTGGCAGTGCCATTGCCTCCCAGAGAGCAGGAAGCACTTGCCCCACAATCCACTTGATAACACGCATCTGCAGGAGAATCGGTGGTGATTCGAGAAAAACAAGTGTTTTGGGTTTAGGGTTTAGGTTTCGGGGTCTAGGGAAGAATTTGGTTAACCCACACTCCAGCACCCACCCTCACTTCCACTCACCATTGCAAGTCTTGTCTGTTTCGTTGTAGGTGTGACCAATAGCATTGCATGAGCACTTGGGAGTGCCATCGGCTGTCACAAAGCAGGAAGCACTTTTCCCGCAATCCACTTGATAACACGCGTCTGCAGGGGAATTCAAGATAGTTTCGAGGTGAAATAGGGGATCGGAGATGTGAAATGGACGATAGACTTTCAGCACACACCCATATCCAACACCCACCCACATTCCAGCACCCACCCACACTCCCACTCACCATTGCAAGTCTTGTCTGTTTCGTTGTAGGTGTGACCAATAGCATTGCACGAGCACTTGGGAGTGCCATCGGCTGTCACAGAGCAGGAAGCACTTTTCCCGCAATCCACTTGATAACACGCGTCTGCAGGGGAATTCAAGATAGTTTCGAGGTGAAATAGGGGATCGGAGATGTGAAATGGACGATAGACTTTCAGCACACACCCATATCCAACACCCACCCACATTCCAGCACCCACCCACACTCCCACTCACCATTGCAAGTCTTGTCTGCTTCGTTGTAGGTGTGACCAATAGCATTGCACGAGCACTTGGGAGTGCCAGCGGCTGTCACAGAGCAGGAAGCACTTTTCCCGCAATCCACTTGATAACACGCGTCTGCAGGGGAATTCAAGATAGTTTCGAGGTGAAATAGGGGATCGGAGATGTGAAATGGACGATAGACTTTCAGCACACACCCATATCCAACACCCACCCACATTCCAGCACCCACCCACACTCCCACTCACCATTGCAAGTCTTGTCTGCTTCGTTGTAGGTGTGACCAATAGCATTGCACGAGCACTTGGGAGTGCCATCAGCTGTCACAGAGCAGGAAGCACTTTTCCCGCAATCCACTTGATAACACGCGTCTGCAGGGGAATTCAAGATAGTTTCGAGGTGAAATAGGGGATCGGAGATGTGAAATGGACGATAGACTTTCAGCACACACCCATATCCAACACCCACCCACATTCCAGCACCCACCCACACTCCCACTCACCATTGCACGTCTTGTCTGCTTTGTTGTAGGTGTGACCAATAGCATTGCACGAGCACTTGGGAGTGCCAGCGGCTGTCACAGAGCAGGAAGCACTTTTCCCGCAATCCACTTGATAACACGCATCTGCAGGGGAATTCATGATGGATTCAAGGTGAAAAAGGAGAACGGAGATGTGAATGGATGATCTTTACCCAATTGTGAGAACAAACTCACACATCGGCACACGCCCATACAACACCCACCCACACTCCAGAACCCAACCCACACTCCAGAACCCACCCACACTCCCACTCACCATTGCAAGTCTTGTCTGCTTTGTTAAAGGTGTGGCCAGTAGCTTTGCACGAGCACTTGGGAGTGCCATCGGCCAAAGAGCAGGAAGTACTGCTGCTGCAATCCACTTGATAACACGCGTTTGCAGGGGAATGCATGATGGTTTCAAGGTGAAATAGGGGAACGGAGATGTGAAATGAACGATTTTAACGAATTTTGAGAACAAACTCACACTTCAGAACACCACCCATATCCAACACCTACCCACACTCCAGAACACAACCCACACTCCAGAACCCACCCACACTTCCACTCACCATGGCAAGTCTTGTCTGCTTCGTTGTAGGTGTCACCAATAGCATTGCATGAGCACTTGGGAGTGCCAGCGGCTGTCACAAAGCAGGAAGCACTTTTCCCGCAATCCACTTGATAACACGCGTCTGCAGGGGAATGCATGATGGTTTCAAGGTGAAATAGGGGAACGGAGAGGTGAAATAAACGATTTAAACTAATCGTGAGAACAAACTCACACTTCAGAACACACCCATATCCAACACCCACCCACACTCCAGAACCCACCCACACTCCCACTCACCATTGCAAGTCTTGTCTGCTTCGTTAAAGGTGTGGCCAGTAGCTTTGCGCGAGCACTTGGGAGTGCCATCGGCCAAAGAGCAGGAAGCACTGCTGCTGCAATCCACTTGATAACACGCGTCTGCAGGGGAATGCATGATGGTTTCAAGGTGGAATAGGGGAACGGAGATGTGAAATGGACGATTTTAACGAATTTTGAGAACAAACTCACACTCCAGCACCCACCCACACTTCCACTCACCATGGCAAGTCTTGTCTGGTTCGTTGAAGGTGTGACCTTGAGCTTTGCACGAGCACGTGGGAACACCATCAATCGTAGAGCAAGTAGCACTCATGCCGCAATCCGTTACTTCGCACATGTCTGCAGTGCAGGGGGCAGGGGAAACCGTCCGTGATGGTTCAAAGGTGAAAAGGAATGACTTTTGAGTCGACTCAAGTAGCACTGGTGCCGCAATCCGTTACTGCGCACATGTCTGCAGGGGAAACCGTGATGCTTCAAAGGTGGAAAGGGGAAACAGGTTTGTGAAATAGACAGTCTACCTGATCGTGTAGTGTGCATTAACCCACACTTCAGCACCCCAGCAGTGAGAAGAATGCCGTGAGACGTGAGAGGATGGGAAGCAAGAGCGGGGTGGGGGAAGCAAGAAGGTGGGTGGGATGCACGACCAACACCAGTTGGTTGTCATGCCATGCCACTGCTTATTAGCTTGCTTTTGAGCCGTCTCAAAGCACCCACCCACCCACACTCCAGAGCTGGGGAAGCACGAAGGTGGGTGGGATGCAAGGAGGTGGGTGGGATGCAAGGAGGTGGGTGGGACGCAAGGAGGTGGGTGGGACGCAAGGAGGTGGGTGGGACGCAAGGAGGTGGGTGGGACGCAAGGAGGTGGGTGGGACGCAAGGAGGTGGGTGGGACGCAAGGAGGTGGGTGGGACGCAAGGAGGTGGGTGGGACGCAAGGAGGTGGGTGGGACGCAAGGAGGTGGGTGGGATGCAAGGAGGTGGGTGGGATGCACGACCAACATCAGTTGGTTTTCATGCCGTGCCACTGCGTATCAGCTTGCTTTTCAGGGGTGCATTTGAACAAAGCTCCCCTCCCCAGCTCTCACCGGAATGGCACTTTTGGTCCAGCTCGCTGAAAAAACGGCCACCCGCATTGCATACGCAGGTGTAAAAAACCACATCTTGCTCGTGTTGCACAATGCACGTAGCATCGCTCGGGCAGACTTTGTTGCAGGAAGGAGTGGGGTTCTGATTAGGAGTAGGGATGTTTTGATCTGGAAAGAGGGAGGGAAATGGGGTACAAAATGGTCATTTTGCTAGCCAGCCGAGCGATGATAAACTCACCCACACTCCACCTCTCACCCACTCTCCACCTCTTACCCACACTCCAGCACCCACCCACACCCCTGCGGTCACCCAGGGAAGAAAGTATGTGAGAAGCCAGAGGATGGGAAGCAAGAGCGGGGAAGGCAAGAGCAAGAAGGTGAGTGGCGTGCACTGCTATTACCAGCTGGTTGCCATGCCACTGCTTATGAGCGAGGGTGCATTTGATCGCTGTGGCCCAGCACACACTCACCATGGCACTGCTGTTCGGCTTCACTGAAGGTCAGACCGTCGGTGACGCACTAGCAGCCGAATGTGTTGTCAGCAAGCACAATGCAGTAGGAATCGCTCGGACAGACTCTCTTGCAGGTGGGATTCTCTGAGTTGGGAGGGGGGGAGGGGGGGAGGGGGAGAGGGGGGGGTTGGGGGGGGGGGAAGGCGGGCAGGTGGGAGTGGAGATGTTGCAAGCTAGCCTACAATAAAGTCACCCAGGTCTTAACTCCCACCCACACTCCAACTCCCACCCATACTCCAACTCCCACCCACACTCCAACTCCCACCCACACTCCAACTCCCACCCACACTCCAACTCCCACCCACACTCCAACTCCCACCCACACTCCAACTCCCACCCACACTCCAACTTCCACCCACACTCCAACTCCCACCCACACTCCAACTCCCATACACACTCCAACTCCCACCCACACTCCAAGTCTCGTCCACACTCCAAGTCTCGTCCACATTACAGGTCTCACCCACACTCCAGGTCTCACCCGCACTCCAGGCCTCACCCGCACTCCAGGCCTCACCCGCACTCCAGGCCTCACCCGCACTCCAGGCCTCACCAGCGAAGGGGTCTTCCGAGCATTCCTCCTCGCCAGATGGGCCCGGAAGGCAGATGGTAGTAGCGCTAGCGTGGGTTGTGAGGAGGCTGAGCGCAACGAGTCCCACGACGAATGCGCCCACGCTAGTACTGCCAACGCCAACGGCAACGGCAGACCGGGGCCGCCCGGAGGAGCGCTTCATGACGACGGATGACGGGGAATCAGGGAGGCGGGTGACGGCTAGGGAGTCTGGGAGGCGGGTGGGATCAACGATCAGCGCGCAGAGGCGAAATGCTCCGGCCTTTCTTGCAAGTCAGGTGACGAACCGCAGGGACCACGCTCGTGTGCTCAGCAGTGGACTAGTTGAGTCGACTCGTCGAGATTAGGGCAGAAGCTCGAAATGTGCGAGCCCAGGAGGAGGAGACGAAAGCACGTAGTCTACGAGAAGTGGCGTGAGAATGTGATTCTACTGCCTCGGAAGGGGGTGTTGATAGTGCTGAGACTGAGTGGCCAAGCGCACATTGATCCATTGTTCCTATAATTCGACTAAGCTGACGCTCGCGCTGTGAACTTGCGCAATGTGATGCGTTTCGTTTCCGCGATTTGCGGAAATTTTCCGACAGTGAGGCGCGTCCGGAGGGAGACCGACCCCGCACAGCGTCCGGCGGAGGGGAGGGGAAGGGAAGGTGTGAGAGAGGAGCGACCTTCGTGACAACGGAGCGCGAAGGAGAAAGTGACGGGAGCATGACGGGAAGAAAGACCAGCGTTGCCGTTGGATGAGGCGGAATTGAGGCTCCGCAACGGGGCGCAGAGCGATAAGGCTTCCGCCTCGTACCAGGGGCGCGCTCGCGCACATTAGAGTACTTGGGGACTTCACGCATTATTGCTGCGAGAGATACTGCACAAATGAAACAAATGCTGCTGTGAACGCGTTTGGCATGCCTAATCCAACGAGGAGAAAATGGCTAGGGTTTGCCGGTCATAGTTCGCAAGCGACAACGATATTTTGCGACAGTTCTCAATCGGACTACGTAACTATTGTTAGTCTGGCGGACCAGTATTTGCCCTACCAACGCGTCTCGGCGACGGAAATCGGTTTGTGTCGCCGGCAAACTTGGTCGTACGAGGACCGGACGCGTTCTTTGCTGGTCTCGCTCGCCGTCAGCGTGTCGTCCACGGGCTGATCCAACAGGCGAGGTGGTGGCGAATATCGGATCTGATATCTGTTATGAGCTGTAAAAGAGAGTGCGCAGGTAAACTAATAATGAGACTGTGATTGAATGATCTGAGAATACAATGAAGGCATAGACTAATGTAGGGACTAGCCTAGCTAGGAGAGAACCTCGGACGAGCGAGGTTGGGTGCAGGTTTGGCGATGGGAAAATGCCGAAGGTGACGCGAGGAGCCTCGGCAGCGTTGAAATCGGCCGAACGTGCAAAGTGCGAAAATCGGGCTGTACGCGAAGCAGTCAAACCCGATAAGGAGTTCGAAAAAATTCCTTACACAACCCCCCCTTAAGAAAGGCGGTCAATATCCGAAACACGCCAGCGTGCCAAGTAATCACGAACCAGTGACGAGGCGTCCAGCGAGTCGGGGTGCACCCACGTGTCGTCTTCGCTGGAACGATTAGTCCAACGGATGAGGAAATCCACGTGGCGACCAGCTGCGTCAAGGCGAACCCGGTTTGCCAAAATCTTCGAAGGGTCAAGAGTCGGCTCCGGGACAGGTCGTGCAGTTGGGGCAGCTTGTTGCCTCGCAATGTCGGTCGTGGCTGGTACGAACTTGCGAAGCAGGCTGACGTGGAAGGCGTCATGAATGCGCCAGTCGTCGGGTAGCAACAGCTTCGCGGTGACAGGTGCCACCATCTTGATAATCTTGAAGGGTCCACAGAATCGTGGCCATAGTTTCGACGGGCCGGGTAGGTGCAGGTTCTTCGTGTCAAGGAGCACTAGTTGCCCAGCTGTCAAGACGAGTTCCCGTCGTAGAAGGTCGGTGTATTATCGAGAAGTGATATTCGCCTTGCGAATTGCATCTGCTGCTTTCTTGCGGACTTCCTGAAGTTCCGTCACAAAGGTTTGTGACCTTGGGACCGGGTTGTCGATAGTGGTCGCTGTACGAACCGTCGGGTCCATCCCGTAATTCAGGAAAAACGGGGAGTGATTAGTCGTGCTGGACGGTGCGTTGTTGAAGGCGAACTCCAACATGGCGAGCAATTCTTCCCAGCAGGCAGGGTCGGGGAAGTTTGTCTTGATCAGCTGCTCCATTGTCTGATTGGTCCTCTCGGTCTGGCCGTCCGTCTGTGGGTGGTATGCCGATGAGAACTGTAGCTTCGTGCCGTACTGCGCCCATGTCTCCTTCCAAAATTTCGATGTGAACTTCGCGTCTCGGTCGCTGATGATCGCTGAAGGGATCCCGTGCAGTCGCACGACCGTTCAGATGAAGAGGCGCGCAGTTTTTTCGGCTGTGATTATTGTTCGGCATGGGGCAAAGTGCGCCATCTTTGTGAAGCGATCGACGACGACGAGTACAGCGTCATTGCCAGACGGCCCAGCTGGCATCCCCGTGACAAAATCCATTGTCACTTGCTGCCACGGTCGTTCGGGTGGCTCGAGGGGTTGCAACAGCCCAGCTGGTCATTGACGTGTCGATTTCATGGCTTGGCACACCCTGCATGAGGACACATATCGCTGCACGTTGTTAGAGGAGTCAGGCCAGTAATATTGACGGTGTAGTAATTTCTGGGTTTTATCAACCCCGAAGTGTCCGGAGAAGTTCGAATCGTGGACCTCCTGGATAAGGAGTTCACGCAACAGCCTGTAAGCGGGAACCCAAATCCGGTCGGTTCAGGCCTTTAGGTAATAATCCCCTTTCCGCGTCGTGGCCTGCTGATGATTTCCAGTCATGAAGAATGGGTCCGTAGTGTAACCGTGGGTGAATAGTCCGGTAAGTAGTGGGTTCGAGTGGGTGATGAGTACTGCAGCGGATTGTACTGTCGGTCGGGTCAGGGCGTCAGCGATGCTATTTGCCCCTTTCTTGTACGTGATGCAGTAGGTGAAGTGGCTCTCCATGTAGTCCAGCCACCGAATTTGTCGCGGGTTGAGGTTGGGCTGGGCTCGCAGGTACTGTAGGGACTTGTGGTCCGTGCGAACAGTGACGTCGGCGCCCACTAGATAGCAGCGCCACAGTTTGAATGCGTGAATAATGGCGAGCATCTCCTTGTCGTGAATCGGGTAGTTATGTTCGGCTGCCTGCAGCTTGCGTGATTCGTAGGCTATCAGCTGCAGCCTGTTCCCGAAATCTTGGAGTAGCACAGCTCCGATGGCGAAATCAGAGGCGCTGGTTACGACTTCGAACGGCTTCGATGGGTCGGCGATGCGCAGCACAGGGGGGGAACGAGAAAATTCTTGAGTTCGTGGAAAGCCGCTTCTGCCTCCTCCCCCCACACAAAGTTCCTATCCTTGTGCAGCAGGTCGGTCAGCGGGCCGGTTATCCCCGCCATATTCGGGATAAACCACCTGACGTACTTCACGAACCCCAGAAAACTCTGCAGTTCCGTGACATTCGTCGGGGAATTCCACTCCTGTATGGTCTTGATTTTCGCCGAGTCGATTTTGATACCGTCGCGTGAGATGACGTGCCCCAAAAACTCCAACTCCTGCTTAAAAAACTTGCACTTAGAGCCCTTGGTGATGAGTCGGTTCTCCTGCAACCGTTTAAATACTGCGTCGAGGTCACAGAGATGCTGTTCCCGTGTCTTGTTAAAAATCAGGATATCGTCCAAGTAGACGATGACACATCGGTCTAGAAGATCCCGGAAAACCCTGTTCATGGTGAGTTGAAATGTCGAAGGCGCATTCGTGAGGCCGAAAGGCATCACAATAAATTCGTAACTCCCGTAGCGTGTGCGAAACGCAGTCTTGTGACACTCGTCGGCGAAGACTCGAATCTGGTGGTAACCGCCACGTAAGTCAATCTTCGAGAAATAGCGAGCGCCGCGAAGTTGGTCGAGGAGGTTGTCAGTTCGTGGGACTGGGTAGCGAGACTTGACGGTGACCTGGTTCAGCGCGCGATAGTCGATGCACATGCGAAGCCCGCCGTCTTTCTTCAGGGTGAACAGGATCGGTGTTGCGAAGGGAGATGTGCTGGCTCGAATGAACCCTTTCTCCAACAGTGCGTCAATTTGACTTCGCAGCTCCTCGAGTTCCGACTGGGTCAACCGCCACTGTGTCCGAACAGTCGGTTGTGCTCCAGGTTTCAGCTGGATTTTGTGGTCCTCAGGTCTCTCGGGTGGTAGTCCAGGTGGCAGGTCGTCGGGGAAAATGTCAAGGTACCTCCGAATCAGCTCCGCTAAATCCGGCGGTATAGCTGCACACAGCTTCTCGATGTCCTTTCCGTCGGTGTCAACTGCCAACTCACGTAAGCAAACAGCGAACAGCTGCGCGCCCCTGTTGAAGTGGCGAGCTATAGTGATAGCTTTGACGCACGGGGCTTGGATGTAGTCAGGTGTCCATGCAGGCAGTTTAATTAGCCTCTCGTGCCTGTTGATGCTGCACGATCCCGTTGTCCAGTCGATGAAGGGGTTGTGCCATCGCAGCCAATCACGTCCCAGCAGCACATCGCAGCCGTCCAGTGTCGTCGCGAGGAAATTTTTGTTGAAGCCAAAATCGTCGCCGCATTCGATCCTGATCGTCCGTGTTTTCCCGTTATCGCCAGAGGCGTCCCATCCACGAGGCGGGCGTCAATTTCGGGCAGACACATGTCAAGTTGCAGCTTGCATTTTTTTGCGCTCGCCGAGTTGAAGAGGCTATGGCTGGCCCCTCCATCGACGAACATTTTCAAGTTATTTTTTAACACCTTGCCAGCGACCAGCACAGGGTGATCCACATGATTATCCCCGTTATTCGGCCGAGTGCGATCGATTGCATGAATCGGAACCACTACTCGGTGGGGATGGTGGGGTTCGGGCGACGGAGCACAGTCAGTAAAGGGCCCGCTAATTACGGACTCTTCCCATTTCCATGCTCCTTCTTGTCGTTCCCCGTCAGCGGCGTTTTCTCGTGGCAGTCTTTCATGTAGTGACCCGTCTTCCCACACCGGTAACACGGTCCCTTAGTAGGGCGGTCGGGTGTATGGACGGTGTTGGTCGTGGCCCGATGGGTCTGGCCACGAAAGCGGTTTCCATCCCTGGAAGCTGCTCTCGCATACTGCATCAGCACATCTGTTGACTCCGCCAGCCGTACTGCTTCAAGAAATGATGTCGGGCGGCCCCTGCGAACCTCGTACTGTATCTCGTATTTGAGGCCGCTGATATATTTATCCAACCGCTCTGCTTCCGACATGTCATCAACTTGGTTGGCGAGGCCCATAAATGACGCCGTGTAGTCTTGAACAGAAGCCATCTGCGACCATGCACGCAGCTTCATGCGAGCTTGCTCCGAGGCGGATACGTGCTCGAAGCGATCTCGTAAGCACTCCTTCCACGTGCGTATCGTGGTCACTCCGAAGATTGATTGTGCCACATGATTAGTCACTGTTGAGGTCCCGTCTGCCGCATGCGTCATACCTGTCGGCGTCCCCGTTTCAAAGGTTCGGAGCCACCATTCAAGCGCTGCACCTCAAAGAAGCGAAACCGCGCAATTAATGCGCGTGGCATTGTCATTAACTCCTGCTGCAGTGAAGAAGACTTCGACCCCGAACAGCCACCCCTTTACTGTAACCGTCTTGTCTGTAGGATTAAACGGGGCGGGTTGATGGGTTTTATCTTGATCGTCGTTACTGCAGCTGGTGCTGCTGCCGCTCGCTGCCTGTCTTCCTCTTCGAAGTCACGTGTGAGCGCGTCCAAGGGATTGCTCACCGCTTGACTGTTGCCCTCGCCTTCATC